TCCCATTATATAACAACCAATCTAGCGGGATATCCTGAGTCAATACCACTGATTGCATATACATAACCTGTGAAGACATTTATGTGTCTATTTTAGCTCTAGGTGATGGGGTAGCCTAGTGGTTAAAGTGTTCACTCGTCGTGCAGAAGACCCAGGTTCTGTTCCCCACATGGGTATAGTACGTGAAGCCCATTTCTGGTGTCCCCCGCCGTGATATTGCTGGAAAATTGCTTAAAGCGGCGTAAAACCAAACTCACTCACTCACTCTGGGTGATGGGGTAGCCTAGTGGTTAAAGTGTTCACTTGTCGTGCAGAAGACCCAGGTTCTGTTTCCCACATGGGTACAGTACGTGAAGCCCATTTCTGACTCCCCACTGTGATATTGTTTTAATATTGCTAAAAGCAGTGTAAAACCATACTCACTCTTTTAACTCTGTCCAATATAGATGTCATCAAAATATGGTTATTGATGTATTATAACATGATTTAATATTTTTATAAAATTTAGCTATTGTGTTGGAAATATCTAATCATTTACAAGAGCTGTACGTCAACACAGAAGCTGTTGTTCAGTTTGATACTAAATCATTTTCCAGAGTTGCATTAACCCCATGTAGAGCCAAATGACTCAGTATTGATGGGGGCAGCCATTGTGGTTATAGAAGCAATAACGTTCAGGTAGCTGTGTTCGTAGCGATATGTGATATTTACACTTGACATTTACATCACTTTGTTATCACGAGCATTGAAATTATGAAAACATCCATCGAATTTGCAAGCATTGTTGTGAACATTGTGTACAAACTGGCTCGGCAGTGATGAATTTAAGAAGATTGGCGAAAATGTTTACATCTAGAATTTAATCCTAAGATTAAAAAATAACAAAATGACAAGATGAGACACATCAGGGATTGTGTCAGGCAGTGACAGATTTCATTAGTGACAGAGCGAAACCCGGCACTGAAGTTACTGTGGACAAGCAGTGATGTGCCAATCAGCTGATCACACAGTGAGGAAATAGAAAGCTTTTTACTTCATGGCACCGATTCCATGATATGGGCATGTCACTGGCAATCTCAGATTTCTCTACTGATCTTTCTCCGTGAAGAAAAAATTTGACTTCCTTGTTGAAAATTGAATTTTTTGTACAGCATGGTATCAGAGACTGGAACCTTTTGTCCCAAATTGATCCTCTCAGATCTGCTTGCATGTACAGCAGAGTTTAAGTCAGGTGCACCATGTACATGGATTAGGAAATCATTGAAGTAGAGCTTTCGCCGGAACCGCAAGGAAAGCTATCCAAGAAACCTTGGCAAATTGTTGAAAATGTTGGGCATTGAAGTGGTGAGGTTTTGAGGGACCTTCTCTGAAGGTCAAGGTCATTGATCAAAACCTTCTAAAAGTGATTACACCACATTTTGAATGCTAAACAAAAATGGTTCTAGCATGTGGTAAGGAAACATTAGAGGAGAGCCATCGAAGGTGCTGACCTTACGTGTTTACTTCTTTGGGGCAGACAAACCAGTGATTATATTCAAAACAATCCTGGTGCTCAAACACATGATCGCAGTGTCTTGGCATGAGAAAGGGCCACAAGTCTGCACAGTAATGATGGGGATGGATGCAAGTTCTTTACAATGAGTGTTAAACTGACTCGGGGCATGGGACTTGTATTTCAGAAAATCTCATCTTTCATTGCATACTCCCCATCAAAAGTTTAGACTCACTAATTTAAATGTAGCCACTTACTTAAGTCAACTCTTCTAAACTAGATTTAGCAAAATTTTCCATGCTGTTTAAAGGTACTGTTTACACATGAATTGATGTATTGTAAAACAAATTCGTACCATTGAAAAGATTATTGTCATGGGTTCAAAAAATGATGAAACTGAGTGAAAATTGGTGAATCCTAAACAAAATTTTACACCACAACACAGCTGTTCACATGCACAATATTTGCACCTGCTTTTTAGCAATTTAATGCTTGATCCTCATGCAATTCATCTGCATAAAGTTTGCAGTTGGTTCCCAAAAGTTAGTGGAGAAATTCATCTTCGATGTAACCACACATATATGCATAAAATATAGTGAGTGCTTTAAGTGAGTCTAAACTTTTGATGGGTAGTATATACAAATTTAGATACAAAATAAATTGCAAGTGATTCTGTGGCCATTAAATGTCTAACCAAGCAATGTTCAATGTTTAAGTGTACATAAACCGAAAACAAATAGGTCACAAACTCTAACGAACTACTGTTTGCTGATTGGCTAATAATATTATGGGCAGGGCTTGTGTTGCATTAGTGATGCAGAACATTATCAACTACTTTGTATTGTTTCTACATCTTTGTGTGTTGATTTTCTACATCTTTGTGTGTTGATCAAACGTGAAGCTATTATTGATATTTATATATTATAATAATATATTTATTATCATCATCAATATGTGTATGGAGTACTGTGTTCACATTGGTTTTTTTTAGTGTATCCTTCCACAAATTCAAAACTGTTGAAGTCATTTCTTTATCATGAGTAACTAGAAACATGAATTGTATTCTGTTTTGAATCGCACCATGAATTTTGAATTTTTTAGTAAATTTCATTTTGGAAATTCTAAATTTAACTAGCAAGTGAACTGAAAGCATATATCCGCTTGTGTTAAAACACTGAAGACTTAAAACATGCCTGATTGCCTTTTTATTATTTAGAAATAACATGTTAGAAATTGGCAACTTTGTAAAGTAAATGAACCAATCTAAAACAAACAGTCATTCATTTAGGAAACCTCATCAATCTTACGTTTCTGTGTTGACATAATGTAAGTCTGATATTTACATCAGTGTTTAACTTTCATGTTTAACATGTTTACAGAGCATTTGATGAATGGCATGTGTTGAAGTATGCGTTAAAAACCTTTATGACATATTTCGATTTTAATGTTTAGACAATATTTGATAAATCGCATAGACTAAGGACAGGGCTTGTTTATCTTACTCTCACAGCAAGTAGCTTTCTTATCTTTGAGCTCAGGAAAGTTTGACTTCCCATCCAGGTCCATCCATCATACGTATCCCGGCCCACAGCTGTCTGTTCACCTGTCTGCCTAATATCTGGTCCATAATTCAATACTACAGGAAATTGCTGTATACATGTGATATATTGAGTATTACCTACAGACGAGCTCTTATGGTCCTATATTACACAGGATTGGACTTATATCAGATCCAGCCATAGATATACAATCTGGAATTCTTTAAAATGTTCCACAATGCATTTATTTCTATGAAATATGTGACATATTCCAGCTTGTTTCTATGACAGTACGTCCAAACAATGAAATCTATGTGGGCATTCCCAGTTTTGCTGTGCTTGCATTTTCTTCTATATGTGTGATCTGACAGGCTTATGGATTTCTGGCTGTGTATGTAAAACGAAGGAAAAGGGGGACGAGATGGATACGAGAGTTGATCTACTGTAAGGTAAAAGAACACATTCATTGACCGACCTCCATGAAATTGGCAAAGGAGTCTGCCTGCTTTTTGTCAGCCGGAGCATGTTCGATCTGGATCTGTGTTGGTATTTGGTCGCATTCTTATACTAGGTGATGCAAATTAGTCTCGGATAATCCACAAATGGCTTTCGTGGTTAGGATTGCTTGTAATTAGCCCCTCCGGGCCGTGAATTATGCGTGTGGCCTGACTCAACCCTTACGAGGTAGTTGAAACAGAGTGGTGCTTGTAGAAGGGTTTTGTGCAGTGTTGATGGGCCTTGTGTATTTTTGTTAGGGAAGTAGTTTTTGTGTAATTGACGATGATGCATGACCTGTAATTGACATCTTTCTTATCACTTCTTTTCACATTCGCTGCAGGTAGTTTTCACTGTCCACTATTACCCACTTACATGTTTATAATCCTGTGTTCCTGTCTCTGCTGGAAAAGAAATTCTTTTGAGGTTAGGCTATCTGGGAATCAACAGGATATTCCACAGTCTATGCCAGGCTTGTACTTTTGTCAATTTTGTGTTGTAACCTGTGTTGGGAGAGATAAGAAGTGGCAGAAAGTTGTTCTGTGGAATTTGAAATGAAATAATTACATTACTAGCTGTACTGTTACAGATACGTTATTCGGAAGGTCTGGAAGGCATTCAACATGTTCAAGACAGGAAAGATAGGATTTAGGTTCTACTTGGATTAATGACAGATAATAACTGACAGGTATTACAAGGATGCGTTGGTTTCTTAAACATATTGAACAGTGTTTGTATATGATAAAGTTTGACATACTTTGGAAAAAGGACACAGTTAAGTGATTTTGGTTGGCCATTTGATTATGATAGTTCAAATCAGCCAAACGACTCTGCTTTCATCTATGCATGCTTATGACATACTTGTACAATCAACACTGCGTTTAGCAGCAATTTCTAATATTTATGGAAATTAATTTGTAATTTTTGTTGTCTGTTGTGCAAATATGTTGATGTTTTCATAAAGTTTTCAATTTGTCATGGCATAGGTTTATCATTTCCAATTTCTGTTGTATTTATGTCCTTGAGATCAGAGCCATGTTTTGAAATCAGTCACGAACTTATCAACTTAGAACCAATGTAATCACACTGCGATCACATATGATCATGCATACTGTTCATAAAACACACCAGCTTCTTTCATATAATTTATCATGGTCCTGTTAAGCATGGTAAGCTTTTGTTGACTGCAATTATATCCTGGGATTATCTAAAAGGCTTAAGTCATCACACCCAAATCAAATTTCTCTTCTTGGTATTCGGCCTGGCCACAGATATAGATGATGATGCTGTGCCTGTCATAACTCCTACAATTCGAGGAGGCATTGATTTTTACTCATTGATGGACAGTGAAGCAGTCTCATGAAGCGTACTTGCTTGTACGCTAGTTGCTAGCTGGCAGGGAGGGAAGCTAGCCAACTGTTGATCTGCTATCATTTATAATGTAGTGGTAGAAGATGTGTGTTTTCTACTTGCAGCTGAGACTGTAGCTACACTGATCCCTTTACTGTGGGATGGAGAGAGAAGAAAGTGGCGTCTGCACACAGTCTGTCCGGCCGGAGTCCGTCTGCTCGCCCAAGTCTGAGGTTGCCAGTCCAGAATCTGTTGTCCTTGAGTCTATTAGTCCAGAGTCAGTTTGTCCAGACTCGGATAGTCCACACTCAGGATCTACCACCAGTGAAAACTCTAATTGGCAGTCACGATGTCAACTTTTAGAGGGATCCTTGCTCCGTTTTCAGCAACAAGCAACTCGGATACGAGAGAATCTTGGACACCAGGTAAGTTTGTTAATATCACTGAAGATCAATTGGAACATGCCACTGACGATTTATGACTTTCAAAAGTTTATGGATTATTGAGATGAAGGGGGAGATAACTCTTTGCAGCATGTTGTCACGGTGTATTCCGATAGCAGTATCATTTGTTGTATATTAGTTTGTGTACAATGATATCTTGGACTGGAATTCCTACATGATATTAGTACAGAGATCATTCTTTGATTATTGTAATAAATTTCACTGTAAAAAGTAGCAGATTGGAAACTCAGTATCATGCGCTGACACTCACGTAAAAGAATTCTGTAAATGTGATTAAGCAGAAGGTTGAAGTAAATTTGCAAAGCTGCAAAACATGAAATGAGGTTATGAATTTGTTTACACAAGTTCTTCAGCATGTTATGATTTAATTCAAACAGGCTTAGCATTTGTTTTCATGCATACATTTAAAGGGCGGTATGGTAGCCTAGTGGTTAAAGCATTCATTAGTCATGCCAAAGACCTGTGTTCGATTCCCCATATGGGTACCATGCTTGAAGCCCATTTCTGGTGTTCCCCATGAATTGTATTCCATGAAGATTTTGGTGATTGTTGTTGTAAACTGCAGTCAACACAGTCAACATGAATACTGCTTGGTTTCATGTAAACATTTTAACACACACAATTTAACACATAGTTATAATGTTGTTTGAAATGTGTCACATGCTTACTGATGCAGCCTCCTGTGCATTACGTGATGCAGTGCAGGGTAGTCAAGTGGTTTGAGTGTTAACTGGTCGCGGAACAAGCTGGTTCAATACCCTCATTGGAATTGTGATGCCGAGTCTATGTGTCCCATGGCTCACAGTGCTGGAATGTTGCTCAATCAGACATAAAACACTCCACACTCTGCCTCACGCGTACTCCATGCAAACACCCTGGTCTCTCTTACTCAATCTATAGTGTAATTGGGAAGGTGCTAACTCTTTAACAGGCATATTGCTTCTCAGTAATCTGTTTTTTTAATCGGTTTGGGCATGTAGTGTGAAAATGTTTGTTGTCTGAATGTCAGGGGTCTCAACAGAACTAAGATTCTGTCAGGACATGTATCAGGCATGTTGGTTCCTTGCAATTGTTTTGGGGGTGAATTTTCTTTCTTTAAATTTTTTTTTTTTTTATGAAAGTTGAAGTGTCTACTGATAGATGTGGTCTATTTGTCAGAAACTGAAATATATTGCTCTCAAACAGGGTAACTTTAATTCATTCCAGTGTTAGATTAAACATCTTTTTATCAACTTCATCATGTTTATCAAATAATTGAGGGCTTTAGAACAAGAAACTTACACACATGTGTAATGAACAGCAATACTTGATCTCTATGGTCCTTTCTCAGAAATTAACTTACATTGTGGGCATGTCCCTTGAAGTAATCCCTGTAAGTATGCATCGATCCTCAAGTTGGTCTTACCAAATATGTTTAAAAATGGTACTTGTTGTTACCGTGCCTGATGCTCTGCTGATGGATGATACGACTAGGACTGGTCAGTTCGGGGTCGGGGCGGTGGGGTAGTCTAGTGGTTAAAGCGTTGGCTCGTCACGCCAAATACCCGGGTTCGAATCCCCACATGGGTACAATGAGTGAAGCCCATTTCTGGTGTCCCCCGCCATGATATTGCTGGAATATTGCTAAAAGTGGCGTAAAACTAAACTCAGTCAGTCAGTCAGTTCGGGGTCAGTGTCTCAATGGTACAATTCATGTTAAATTGTGGTAAGGTATGATTAGCACTGTAAATCTGGTGTAAATCTGGATGTGTACATGCAGCCATATTCATGTACGTGAGTATTGCCATAAACGAACAATAAGCTTAACCGCAACATTAAACCTCACCTCACCCTTTTTTAGACTTGAAAGGCCTGTCATTTCATTGTGTATGTTTTATCATTAATCCTTACAAATATAAATGTGTTGGTATCAGTGAATGTTTTATTTAGTATAATAATTTACCAATACATCAACATATACTGCTCAAAAGAAGTTAAGGAACATGTAATTCGTTCCAACTACTATAGGTAACCATGGCAAGACAAATTTAATACATTAATATCACAGAATCAGGCAGCATGACAGATAAACTGTACTTATATGAAAGTATCAGGTGTCCTTTAACTTCTTTTAATTAGAACATGATGACATGTCTAGTTTTATGAAAGGAGGAGAACCAATAACCTTTACTCAGGGTACAGTGCAATGAATTATTCCGTTCTATAGGACACAGGAGTGGAGCTCAGTAAGAAGCCATCTATCACCGACATTGTAGATTGGTTACCGTGGTTGTTCAACCAGTCCACGGACTCCCCATGTCGTCATTAGCTTGTTGGGACGTCAGTCATGTGATTAGTAAATACATATTGGTAGTGTGTGTGTAGCAGTGTGACTGGTGCCAGTGCTGTTGAAAGGTCGGAGGGATCTGGGGGAGGAAACGGAGACAAATAACAGTTTGGTATTTTGATATACAGTCCTGGATATACTACTCAAGGACAATAGTACATGTGGAACAGATGAAAAATTGTCATCATTAAGTTTTCATAAGCTATAATATTATCATTTGATTTTTTATCCTGCCCATATCTCTATTATTTAACAGTACAAAATAAAATAAAAACGAAGTACATTGCTACATTAGACTACCATTAAGTCTCAGATCTAGAATTATCTTATTAAAAAATAATATGTGTGTGTACTTGATAGAACCACAACATGGAGTGTATCGCCATGTTAACCAATAGGGAGCAACTATTGCCAAGATCTTGAACAGTTATTTTTTAATCTGGAAATCCAATTAATTCATTGTGGCCTTAGGGTGGGCACATGGTACATAAAAATGAAACTTTTGACTATTGTTCAGTATTTCAAATTATTGTATCTCCAGATTATTGATGTGGATATGAAGAGGAAGATATTATAACATGGTCAGAAGGAATGATACAACAGTTGCTCTGGGCTTCTCATGTTTGTTTCTTATAAATATATTCATAGGTTATACATGTGGATGGTAAGCCAAGGGGTTAAAGTGTTCCGTCATCTAAGTTCTAGTATTATCTGTAGTTCCCATTCTTGGAGCGCCACTCACCTTTTCCCACCCACCACCACCACAACCACAATATGTTTTCATATTGCTATGTTGCTGAAATAATGCTGAGAGAGCATAAAACATACTCACTCTGTTCCATGTAATTTAGGAATGGAATGATAACCCAAGCTGCATGTGAGATGCTAGAAGGTTAATAGTCATGATTTATCTCACCGGGTACCCATTTTCTGCTGGGTGAACAGAGGCAATTTTGAACAAACTCACTTGCCTAAGGTGAGACCACATGTATCACATGTCCTTCATTGTGGAGCAGGACTGAAGTCCTAGAAACTCTCAGGAGTCAATCGTCAGGATATGGCTGAAATATTGCTGATGTGACGTTAAATATTAACTCACTCACTCACTCACTCAGGAGTCAAGCTGCCAAACACGGTCACCCATCCAAGGACTCCCCACGCTTGACGTTGCTTAACTTCAACTGATTTGTGACTACGTGACCACTCACTCACTCACTCACTCATGCGCATTCGCTCTCTCAATCATTCACCCAATCAGTGTGCATTATATTGTTTCTGGATCCAAGCCGACAATTCAGCAATGAGCATGTGCAAGCCAGTTGTAAATATCACCGAGTGTCTGTTGTGCTGATATTGACGACACCAGCCTGTAATGACAATATCATGCTTCTGTAACCACCACCACTGACGCACATAGCCTCGGAGCATAAAATCCTGATCCAGGATTTAGAAAGCATTTACAATCTACTTTACAGTTTGACAAAGTTTGCTTGTCCAATAACGCCTTGAGGAATTGCGGGATATTGGTATATTGCCACGCTGTGAAACTGGAACCATCCTTTTAGATTAATAAGCGCACATCAGTCAGATATCCATTTTGTGCACATGACAAGTATACACTATCTTTGATCTTATTTCACTTGGGATGTTTGTTTCGCGAATACTTTGGGTGCCAAGATGGAACAAGGACGATATTGATTTCTCCTCGCTGTGCGTAACAATGTGAGTAGCAGATGCCCTGCTCTGTAATAGGAAATAGACAACTGCGACACTGTGTATATTTCAAGTGTTTGATTGGCTGTTATGGATAGGGTGTTTGATCCTGGTGCACAGAAGTGAAAGTTACTGTGACTTGGTCAAGGTTGATGATGAATGATTAATGAACTCTTCATTGGCAGAGATGGGTATGGTTGTGTTTCTTGTGAATTGACCAAGTCGTATTGCAAAGTAATTAAATATGTTAGCTTGAGTTTTTTGGGGGGGGTCTGTGATGCCTGTAAACGCTGTTCTATCTAAAGATGGGTTTGGAGATGACAGATAATGCATAAATGTGGCATCTCGGCGTCAGATTTTGGATGATGGTTATCACAATATTCTAGCAGGTGGCAGTATTAAGGTCTTGTTAACTTGTCAGTTTGTTGGAGGTCTGTATCTTCTCTGTATGCTGATATGCTGATACAGGGTAATCTCACTGGCTTGGAGAAAGGTAGACCGGCACACTGAATGAGTGAGGGTGGTTTGTATGCAGATTTTATTTGTATTCCAGCTCTTTCAGTATTTCCAACTGTAGCTCATACAAACCTGGAGTCATTAAAACCATCAGACCTTACAAAAAATTCACAAGTCCCTATCTCTAAACACTGATTATTGAATAAAGGACATTAATAACATACATATTGACCTTCCTTGAATTATCACTTACCATTAGATTTGAGCCCAACACACACATTGCTACAGTTGTCAAAGTCTGTGGTAAAGTATGGGAGTTACCATTTTCTTGGTATTAAAGCTTTGTAGAACAGAGTCCTGTCTTTAAGTACAGTTAGAAGTGTGGTTGGTTATGCCTTGCAGTGTTTTCCTGCAGGTGCCATATGCTTACAAACCAGTTTGTGGTAGGACTGAGAAGACCCGAGAG